TTGCTACGCATAATTTATAACCTACTAAATAAATGATTTAAAATTTAGATATTATACATGACTAGACTATCAAAAATAATTTTCAATTAAAGATTTAAAATGTTTTTATCCTTCTTTTTTATTCTTTTTTATGTTGTAAGTGAGGATTTGGAAAAATGAATGGGGGCATTCATTTTTTTTAGTGGGGGCATAAATGATATTTTTAAAAAATTAGGTTATTTATTTATAAAAAAATTAAAAGTCATTGGGGGCAAGTGCCCCCATTAGTCACCAAGTAGATCCGCCCATGCGCTTAGCCCTTTCTTGCTCACCTTGGTGATGGACATCCGGCCACGAGGAGTTCAAGAAGAAGTCCTGTGGTACATGTTTTTTGCGGATGATATTGTACTTATTTATGACACACGTGAGGGAGTAAACGATAAGATTGAACTTTGGAACTTTTCCCTGGAGACCAAGGGATTCAAACCAGTAGGACCAAGACTGAATACATGGAATGTTATTTCAGTGGCTAGGAGATGGTTTCAGAGGTAGAAGTTATGATTGACTCTCACTTAGTGCTCAAGGTTAGAAAAGTGTCGGTATCATGACTCGGTCATTCAGGCAGATGGAGAGTTATACGAAAATGTTGTGCATCGTGTTGGAGCAACTTGGGTTAAGTGGAGGTTGGCTTCGTGGGTGTTTGCGACAAGAAGATTTTACCCATGATAAAAGGTAAGTTCTACCGATCTGTAGTCAGACCAGCTATGCTTTATGAGGCGGAGTGTTGGGCAGTTAAGAAGATTCACGTGCGTCGTCTATATGCAACAGAGATGTGAATGTTGCAGTGGATGTGTGGGCAGACAAGGCTGGATAGGATTTTGAATGAGATTATTCAAGGTCGGTTAGGCATGGTGCAAGTGGAAGATAAGCTCTGGGAAGCTAGGTTGAGGTGGTTCGGTCATGTGAGACGATGGATTGTCGACGCTCCATGTGGAGAAGCAAAAGGCTTAGGTTGGTAGGGGGAAGTAGGGGAAGGGGTAGATCTAAAAAGAGTTTGAAAGAGATGATTAGACGAGACTTAATTAGGACTTCTTTCCCTTAGTGAGGATATGATCTTAATTAGATAAGAATGTTTGGAGGGATAAGATTAGAGTAGTTAGGTAAGTGTCTTGCGATAAAGGATGGTGTTGTTGTGTTCTTGGTATGCCTTTTATGATTGGTGCTATTTGCTTGCAATACTATCCTTTCGTTATTTTAGTTTATTTTTCTGGGTGATGGGGCTTTATTTGTATTTTATTTTTGTTTTCCGTATTTTACGCATATCCTGGATCCTTCTCTTTGTGCAGCTTGAGCCAAGTGTCTTTCGGAAAAAAGGCTCTCTACTTTCAAGTAGAGTCATTATTAAATGTCGTTTAAACAAAATTAGTTTATATGTCAAAAAACAAATTTAGTTTTTTTATAAATTACTCCCTCCGTCCCAAATTATAATGCATGTTCACTATTCATATAGTCAAACTTCATTCACTTTCTTTCTCTATTTGCGTTAGCAATTAGATAAAATAAAGTACTATTGTCACTACTAGTTTTGTAGATCTTTTGATGTAGTATTTTAATATGTAATTTTTATTTTTTAACTCTATACCATTTGTCATATAAAATGATTTAAAAATAATTTCAGTCAAACATCGTAAACCGAAACAGACACTATAAATTGGGACGGGGGAGTAGTTGATTAGGTGTAGGATAGTTCGGAAGGGATGACAATGCTGCTTGGCGAATGGTATACGAATTTCTACCTAGAAGTTGAGATTTTAAGTTTTGTAAACCCTGTTGTCCTCTTAGGGAACAATTCAATTGGGAGGAAAAAGTAATAGGGCATGTTTGTCCAAAAAATTTCTTCATATTTCTCTTTTTTAGTTGTCCAATTTTTTTTAAATTATATTTTCTTCATATTTCTCTTTCCATTTTCTTTAAAAAAAACTGTTTAAATGGTGTTAGCCTAGTATTTTATATGTATATGTTTATTGTGTATTGGGCCGTGTATAGCTTGGGCCCGTGACTTGTATTCTCGGCTTTGTATATAAACTCCCGGTGACTAATGGAAAACTCAGTTTCACGTAAAATATTTCTACATGGTATCAGAGCTATCCTAGGGCAAAGTCTCGAAACCCTACGCTTGTGTGTGTGCCGACCGGGAGTTTTCGCCGTCTGATTCGGCGGTGTCTGTGCGTCGATAGTGCGCCGGAGTCTGGAGTCCGTCAGCCCTCCTCCGTCGCTGTCTTGTTCGCTGTTCGTCGTCGTTGTCTTCTCGTCGCCGGCTCTTCCGATCGCCGTCCGCCAGTATGTCCGGTGAAGTCGTCGCCTCCAACCCTAAAAACACTCGGCTCATTCATGATCCTTCTTCCATATATTACCTTCACCCCTCCGAAGGCCCGGGTAATTCCTTGACAAAATATCTTCTTAAAAGTGACAATTTTGATGTATGGGAGAAGGCGATCCGTAATGCTTTAGGTGGTCGTGGGAAATCTGTTTTCTTGTCATCCGGAGGTGTTCCTAAACCTACTGATGAACAGGAATTGTCTGCATGGTGTGCTAATCATCAAATTATNAAACTCCTCGGGGGAAAATCTCCTCTTGAAATTCTTTCCTCCAAACCTCAAGATTTGAGTCATCTTCGGGTTTTTGGTTGTCTTTGTTATGTCCACCCTATTCCTAAACCCAGAAATAAATTTACCCCACGAAGTATCAAGTGTGTGTTCATGGGCTATCCTTATGGTACCAAAGGGTGGCGCGTGTATAATCTTGAAACCCATACATTTTTTCATACGCGGGATATCTCTTTTGATGAAACAACCTTCCCGTTTGCTGTTCCTACTCCTTCGACCAGTTCTCAACCCATCATCACACCTTCGCCAGTTGATTTCGTCGTTCCTCCTACTCGAGTCACTACTGCCGTCCCCGCCCCCCAGCCAGTGGTACCGTCACCCGTCACCCCCACTGTTCTGGTGACAGCCCAGCAGCCCACATCGTCTCCGTCTCTATCTCCGTCACCCTCTTTGTCCTCTTCTTCATCGGAAACAGTCACCACCCCCGTCTCCTCCGACGACGACGACAACAGTTCTCCCTCCACGGTGGAGACCACTTCTCCACCGCCAATAATTCCACCCCTTCCGCCTCGTACTCGTCGTCGTCCATCTCATCTCAACGACTACGTACTTCACTCCGCAAAAACTGTCACTCCGGCTCCGGTCACCTCATGTTCTTCTCCTTCTGGTACTCGGTTCCCTATTACTAACTTTGTTCATTATTCTAAGTTGCATGACAGGTATAGAGGTTTTCTTGGAGCTATTGACGCCACATCTGTTCCCCGTAATTTCCGTGAAGCTGTTCAGTTTGCCTCATGGCGAGAGGCAATGGCCACTGAGTATTCGGCCCTGGAACGTAACCATACTTGGGATGTTGTTGATCTTCCTCCTAACCGACGTGCTCTTGGTTGCCAGTGGGTATATCGGACCAAATTTCGGTCTGATGGTACTAAGGAGCGTGATAAAGCTCGCCTTGTTGTTTTAGGCAATCATCAGGAACTTGGTGTTGATTATACTGACACGTTTGCTCCTGTAGCCAAACTTGCTACTGTTCGTGTTTTGTTGTCTGTTGCAGTGGCTCGTGGTTGGCAGGTTGATCAGTTGGATGTTAATAATGCCTTCCTGCATGGTGATTTACAGGATGAGATTTATATGAAACTACCCCCTGGTTATACTCATCTTTTTCCAGGAAAAGTTTGTCGTCTGCGCAAATCTTTATATGGGCTTCGTCAGTCTCCTCGTAATTGGTTCACTAAGCTCCGTATTGCTCTGCGACGATATGGTTTTCGTCAAGCCCATGCTGATCACACTCTTTTTGTTCTCCAGCGCGGTCCTGATATGTTGGTTGTACTTGTTTATGTTGATGATATTTTGGTGGCCGGTAACAACAGGTCTTTGTGTACGTCGTTCAAGAAGTATTTAGATGACTGTTTTCATCTTAAGGATCTTGGTCCTGTCTCTTATTTTCTCGGGATTGAGTGTGCTCGTTCTTCGACTGGTATGGTTCTCTCTCAGCGTAAGTATGCTCTTGACATTATTGATGAGGCTAATTTGCTTGGGTGCAAGCCTGTGGACACTCCATTACCCGTTGATCATAATTTGGCCCGATCTACTAGCGCTGAGATTCGTGATCCTCTTAAGTATCATCGTCTTGTGGGTCGTTTGTTGTACCTGACCATTACTCGTCCAGATATTTGTTATGCCGTTCACTGCCTCTCTCAGTTTATGCAGGCTCCACGTCTTGACCATTGGAATGCAGCTCTTCGTGTCCTCCGTTATCTCAAGGGACACCCTGGTCAGGGTATTTTGTTACGTAGTGATAGCAATCTTGCCCTTACTGCCTTCTCTAATTCTGATTGGGCTAGCTGTCCTCTTACACGCCGTTCTGTTACTGGTTACTTCATTTTATTGGGTGGTTCTCCTGTCTCGTGGCGCACTAAGAAGCAGAACACTGTTTCCCGATCTTCTGCGGAGGCTGAGTATCGCGCTATGGCCAATGCCTGTGCTGAAATTCGTTGGTTGCGTGGCCTTTTGGTGGCTTTGGACGTTTCGGTGTGTCGCGACTCCACGTCTATACTGCGACAACAAGTCGGCCCTATTTATTGCCGCAAATCCAGTGTTTCATGAGCGATCGAAGCATATCGATATTGATTGTCATATAGTCCGAGAATGTCTTTAGCGCAATCATATTGTGACGGCTTATGTTCTTACGCGTTTTCAAACGGCGGACATCTTCACAAAGGCCCTCTCCGGTCCTCTTTTTCGTAGTTTACTGTCCAAGTTGGGCATTCGTGATCTCCATGCTCCAACTTGAGGGGGAGTGTTAGCCTAGTATTTTATATGTATATGTTTATTGTGTATTGGGCCGTGTATAGCTTGGGCCCGTGACTTGTATTCTCGGCTTTGTATATAAACTCCCGGTGACTAATGGAAAACTCAGTTTCACGTAAAATATTTCTACAAATGGTCCATAATTGCACTTCTGAATCAATCTCAATTATGAAAGAGAGAGACGTACAATTTATTCCTCTTGGCGTGGCCTCAATATCTCTAAATAATCTTTCTCCACTTTCATGTACGTATCAATGTATGTCATCCTCTCCAATTCATCACAACTAATAACGTAGGAGTACGTACTACTCTTTTTTAAATGAAATTCCACATACATACATATGTACACTCCATTTTTTAATACGTATAATTCATACACACCCATATATCATGTTTGTGTGTGTATGTGTGTGTGTGTGTGATTTTTTTTCAATTTTTCAGAATTTTTTATTTTTAATAGTCTTAGATCTTAAATCTAATGGATCACATGCATTCTTTGTTCTTTCATTATACACCATTCTCATTTGATATATATATATATATATATATATATATATATATATATATATATATATATATATATATCCTTCTCAACCTTACTGGATCACCCCATTCTTTCTTTCTTTCTTTCTTAATTACAACCTAAGACCCTTGGTTAATTAATTGGTTGTGAGAGAAATTTAAAGAAAATAAAGAATGGGTGGAAGTGTGGTGGTGTTTGATTTCGACAAGACGATAATAGAAGTGGACAGCGATAACTGGGTGGTGGATCACCTGGGCTTCACTCATCTCTTCAACCGCCTTCTTCCCACCATGCCTTGGAACTCTCTCATGGTTACTTATAACATTGCCTTTCATTTATTATCATCATCATCATCATCATCATTCTTGTTGTTGTTGTTGTTATCTATTATTGTTATTGCAGGACAAAATGATGAATGAGGTACACGCAAATGGGAAGACGATAGAAGATATTAAGCAAGTCCTGGAAAAGGCACCCATTCATCCCCGCATTATCCCCGCCATTAAGTCCGCTTATGCCTCAGGGTAATTATTAATTAACTCTCTACTATACGTACCTAGTGCTATTTTAAAATCATGAGTATGGATGCTAGCTGGAACCCGGTTGTAATCATTCACATCATAATTAAATATCCCCTCCGTCCGGGTTTAATCTTCCCGTTTCTATTTTTTTATCTGTCCGGATTCAATCTTCCTGTTTCTATATAAATGTGTACTTGGACAAAAGATGCCCTCCCCTTCATTAAAAATTCCCAATAACCCACCCTTTTCCACTTTCTAAGTAAGGGCTTTTTGGACAAATCCATCCCATAGTTAATTAACTTCCCTTAGAAAAAAAAAATAAATGTGATGGATGGATTGATCAGGTGTGAATTGAGAATAGTGAGCGATGCAAACCTGTTCTACATTGAAACCATATTGAAGCATCACGGGATAAGAGAGTGCTTCACGGACATCAAAACCAACCAGGGCTATGTGGATGACAGTGGGAGGCTCAGAATCTTGCCTTTCCATCTCTCTTCTCATGGCTGCAGCCTTAATAATCTCTGCCCACCCAACATGTGCAAGGTAAGTGATTAACTATGCTCATTACTCATTACTTCCTTCAACTAACATTTGGTTCTAAACGAACGAACAGGGCAAGATCATAGAAGAGATTCAAGACTCATTGGAAAGGGAAGGGAAGAAGAAGCGAATGATTTACCTGGGCGATGGGGTCGGCGATTTCTGCCCGAGCCTGAAGCTCAAACAGGGAGACTTTGTGATGCCCAGGAAAGATTTCCCCGTCTCCAAACTGATCAATGAAAACAGGAAGCTTTTGGAGGCAGAGGTTCATGAGTGGGCCGACGGGGAAGAACTTGAGCTCCTCCTGCTCCATCTCATCAACAGCATCTGCATACAAGAAGAGAACCAGTCATTGCCAGATGAGTTCCAGAAAATTTCAATCCTTTCTCCTGAGCCTGCTCCTCAAGCCATTCCTGTACCTTTCTAGTGTTGTTGCCAATGCATGCATGGACAATAAGATGTTGGAGAATGCTGTGATAATAAGTTTGTTGGTTTAGAAAGTGAATTTGTCTCCACATCATTTGAAGTTTGAAGTAATAATAATATATTTACTAGATTAATATTGTTGACTACAATGAGACTTCTTAGGTCCTCATGATTTTAAGACAAGAACATATTCTACTCTCAAATCAAATCTCGAAAAGGGAGGGGAGTAGTGGTTTTCGATATGCTCAATGGAAAACTCTACAAGAGATTCTGGGCATAAAATTTCAAGAAACAATGAAACTCATTATCATATGGTGATTTAATTAATTAGCTCACTCAATATACACCACCATGAGTAAATTCAAATATCATTAATTAATTAGCTCACTCAATATACACCACCATGGGTAAATTCAAATGTCTAAGAGTTTACAGTGCTAAGAAGCAAGTGATAAAACCAGAAAGCAATGATTTATTTCTGTTTCGGACACGGCCAATTACACTTGAATATTCATTCATCTCCCCATCAAGGTTTATACGGCTTGAGCATATATATGAACGCAGCCGTAGTTTCCTTGTGGTGAGCAAATACTATATAACGTAGTCTGACCATTGGGAAATAAACGAAGTATGATCCATGGACTCCCCGGGGACATCTTCATGAACACTGGGCTGTTCCTTCCCACCCACTAGCCTAGCAGGACTTCCAACTGCGGTGGTCCATGGTGGCACATCAATCAGTACCACAGATCCGGCGCCAATTTTAGCTCCCTCGCCAATCTTTATGTTTCCCAATATTGTGGCCCCAGCCCCAATTAAGACTCCATCTCCGATTTTAGGATGCCTATCACCTCCAACCTTCCCTGTCCCACCTAATGTGACGTGGTGCAGCATGGACACATTGTTCCCTATGATTGCCGTCTCTCCTATCACCACTCCGGTTGCATGATCTAGTAATATTCCTTTCCCTATCCTTGCTGCTGGATGTATGTCCACTGCAAACACATCTGCTATCCTGGATTGCAGTGACAAAGCCATGGGTTTCCTGTTCTGTAGCCATAGCTTATGTGCCAATCTATGTGCCTATACTTGGGGGAAATAGTAAAAGATTACATCAATAAATAATACGGACTGGTCCAAATTGTTTTCCATACGCAACCAAACACATAAATGCCACTAGAGTATGAGCAAATTGAAATTAAAAATGGATTGTTTGTAAGCATTCTCATAAAGTTTATGGTTAAATTTCCAATATTCTTGTAATAAGAGTCATGGTTCACTTTACCCACCATAATTATCTACTCAGACTTTCAATTAACTTGTGAATTGTAGCTTCTTACTTTTTCAATTACAGAAGAAGAGTCTATATGATAAATCGAATACAAAAACTATAAGCATTGTGTAAGGTAAATGTGTCATGCTTCACTCAAGGTGAATTGTCGGGATATAAAGTACCCTGTCCATCCCATAAAAAGAGTCATGCTTCACATAGGTACAACCTTTAAATGTTAGTACATAGTCACATAAATCGCGGTACGCTTCGGTACGGGTACGCGGTACGGGTACGAAATTCGCTAGATGTAACGAATTCGGTACGAAGGGGGGTAGGTTCATTTCGGTACGAAGTGGTACGAAGCGGTACGGTGTACCATGTATTCGGTTCGGTGTACCAAAAGTCAAAGCATAAGTAAACAAAAATAGATAAGATGAGCATAAAAGCATAACATTACAAAATCCAATTGAAAAACAAGACATCATCTAAAAATTACTGGATATTGAGGACTTTAGATTGGGTTGTGGTTACTGGTTAGACTTGAGAGACATATATATATATATTTGGAGACAGCCTAGGAAAAAACGAAACATTAAAGGGAGAAGTCAGAGAACAATCGAGAAAGGTACGGAGACTATGAACGACTCGCACGGAACTTGGGGAAGTGCAATCGCGAATTGACCTTTTCAATTTACGGAGAAAACAATCGCTTGGAAGAGGGAAGGTCGCGGGAGAGACGAAATTGCGATTTGGATCACTGGACCGCCGGCGATTGGTACTCCGTATTATCCGACTTGGTGCGACGTTCTAGGGCATCTGGATCGCCGGCGAATTGCGAATTGGAGCGCCGTACCACACCGAATTGGATCGCCGTACCGGTGGCGATCGGTTCGCCGGCGACTTGCGATCCGGTACGATTCGTACCAATTCGGAAATCGCGGCTAGGTAAGCGAATTCTGTAACTATGTGTTAGTAAGTACACTTAAAGAAAATCAACAGGTATAGCTACATTTTTAGACCTTGTTGGTTGACCTAAATTTAACACAATTGATTTGCTTGGGACACTTATATATATATATATATATATATATATATATATATATATATATATATATATACATATATATATAACTAGTATAATTAGTATAATATTGTGATTCTGCACGAGTGAAATAAGCTCATGTTATATCAGAAGAAATATAGGGTGACTTTTCACATCAAGATTGTATGTATAAATAGTACTCCCTCTGTCCCAAAATAAACTTCTCCCTTTCCTATTTTTGGTTGTCCCAAAAATAAAGTTTTCATTCCCTTTAAAGAATGAAATGGGTAGTCTACAAGAATTCTCTCTTCTGCATCAATCTCAAGTATTCTCAACCAAACAATTTCACTTTTTCTTAAACTCCATGAAAAAGCAAGTGAAAATTTAATTTGGGACGGGGGGTTTATAGGCATGTGTAAGTGTTTTACATTATTTAAAATGGGAAAAATCAGTTCCTTTCCTTTTATGAAATGGACTGCATTTTAAGAGGTTGGGTTTGATTACATTTTTAGACCTTGTTGGTTTACCTAAATGATTTTATGTATAAAAAGTACTCCCTCTGTCCCAAAATAAACCTCCCACTTTCCTATTATTGGTTGTCCCAAAATAAAGTTTTCATTCCCTTTAAAGAATGAAATGGGTAGTCTACAAGAATTCTCTCTTCTGCATCAATCTCAAGTATTCTCAACCAAACAATTTCATATTTTCACTTTTTCTTAGACTCCGTGAAAACGCAAGTGAAAATTTAATTTGGGATGGAGGGAGTATAGTCATGTGTAAGTGTTTTACATTATTTAAAATGGGCAAAGTCAGTTCCTTTCCTTTTACGAAATGGACTTCATTTTAAGAGTTTGGGTTTGATTAAGAATATCTGAACTACAAACTTATTACTGCTAAATCCTAATCTACCCCATGTTTGTTTCCTCACTTATCCCCACTCTTCTGCTTCCACCAACATCTCTGCCACCGCTCAGTAGCAATAACTGCAACTTCTCTCCAATCCAGTTTAACACTTCTCTACAATCCAATTTGTTAAATTCTGAGGTCGAATTGGTAAAGGTTCAACATATCAAACGAAGTAACAAGAATTCGGGCTCTTGCAGGTTTTTTTATTATTTCCAACTCAAATAATAAATCTTTGATCTATGTTTCAGAAGGTTTTTTATTTTCTAGTACTAAATGATTGAACAATACTCTTATCTTTCACTCCTGCATATGCATATATTGATGTGCACATCTCTCTACTTGATTGAAAGTAATTAACATTCAAGGACCTGTGTTTTCTAAGAATTGATTTGCAGGCAAACTGATAAATTTAATATACTCCGTAACAGATTTTGATTAAACATAGTTTGATTCACATCATTATATTCTACTTGAAATATACTTATGCTTTCTCTTTTAATCTCTTGGCATGTATTGAAGGGGACAGTTTCATACTGACTACTCCAGGAGTATATCTATTTTGAAGTCCAGGAGAAGAGATTGAAATGCTAAATAGTTACTCCATTTGACAAAAGCATAGCTCAAAATCAAGCTATGCGAACCCGGTAGTTTTGTACTTGATCCGATACATCCAACACATTATTTCTATTGACCTTTAAATTTGTGAGCTGTCTTAGTCTTACTGGTTTATGCTTAATTAGCTGTTGATGAGTACAATTAGAAAGCAATTCCTTTGCTTTATTTTTCCCCAATTGAAAACATAGAAAAACGCCTTGAAATTCGAAAGGAGAGAAATGATAACCTGGATGGCTAAGAAGCCCTTGTAATTCAAAAGACAGTGGGAGAAGGAAATGCAAGCGGCGTCGCGGAAACGGGCGGCGCAAAGGTCGGCGACGGTGGCTGCGCGGAGGGACGGATCGGAGGAGAAGGTGTTGAGGAAGAGGTCGTAGAGAAGGGTGGAGAGCAGGGTGGAGGAACAGAGCTTGTTGCCGAGATGAAAGGAGAGGGAGCCAAACAAGGAGGAATGAGAAATGATGGAGGAGTAAAGGTAGCTGGCGAGCGCCGGCTCCGATTCGGCGTCGCGCTTCGCCTCGTCTCTGATCTGACCCCACACTGCCGCCTCCGCCTCAGCTCCTCCGCCGTTGCTGGAAATCGCCAGGAGGTGCTGCATCCGCGCGTTGAGTTCCTGGACTGGCATCCTGATTCCGCCGACCCTTTCTTCTAAGGAGTACTTTTACTTATTTTGGCCTTTCCCTGCAATGTCTAGGGATGAGTTCTTGAAAGAAGGGGCAGGTCTAAATTTGGATCGGAGTCATCCGACCAAAACTAGAAAAATTTAAAAACAATCAAGTAAAGGGTAGAACCGGAATCCAGATCTCAAAACTTTTGGTCAAATCCAGACCGATTTTAGTCTCGAAATACAGAATCTATCCTTTGTCAAATTGTTTTAACTTGTTTTTGACAATGTGGCTTGATTTGAGTTTATTTCATTTTATTTAAAATTTTCTATCCATTCGACACTTTTCAAGAAATTATATTAATGTAAAATATTTTCATAAAAAATATGATAAGTTGAAATAAATTTTATAGTAATTATCAAAACGGTCCTTTCTAATGAGACGTTTTCTCAAATTAGTCTTCAATAAGTAATAATAACCAACATAATCATATATTCCCAAAATAGTCATCTGCCAAAAAATGTCTATTAAATACTAGTTAAATAGAAAATATTTTGGTATTTTCTATCATCTAGATTTAAAGTGTATTCTCGAAATGCTCCTTTATAATTAAATGTTTTTTCAAAATGATAATTTTTAAGTAAATATTTTCCCAAAATAGAGTTCATGAGCTAACTCGGGGTGGTCCGTTCTTCAAGCAGTCACCCACTTAATTTGAAAGAACCATTTTGACGACTTATTCATAGTTTAAATGATGAAAAAATATAAAAATATCCTACATTTAACTGTCATTTAATATGCATTTTTGACAGAAGACTATTTAAGGAATACATCTCAATTATCTCAATTATAAAGGATCATATTGTTAATTATTGTTTATTAAGGACTAAAATAGGAAAATACCTTATTAAAAAGGATTGTTTTGAAAATCCTTTAATATAATAAAGGAGACTCGGATGCACAGAATTTCGACATTTGCCATGTCTATGTGGCAAAATTTAAACATGTCAGCACGCCACGTAATATCCGAGTAGACCAGCGAAAATAAATTATATACGATGCACCAGCTAATCTCTGATATGCACATATTTTATACACTTTTTAGGCATATTTTAAAAGAGCTTTGAGTCCCAATTGAATTTAATGTTTACATTTTATTTCATTTTTCCGTTTTATTTTGGGAGAACAGTCCTATGCTTGGTTTTATATGTTTTGCAGGTATTTTGAGACCATTTGGACGCATTGAGAACAATTTCATGAATGGAAAATAAACATGGAAGTTTGGGACCAAAATAAATGGAAGAGATTTGAAGAAAAGAAAGAAATAAATTTAAAAATGAAAAAATTGGAGCTAGGATTTGAACACTGGAATTCAAGGTGTGGAAGTGCAGCTTTGACCATCACACCACAGCTGATAATTCAGCAATATCTGGTTGACAACGACTATGTTCTATTTTTAAATCGGCCCATGAATTGAGAGAGAAAAATGACAAAACACCGACGACAAACAGCTTCCTTTCCATGTGGGCTACTATATCTTTGTTGACATTCTTGGGACTGTTCGTATATACTCTGTATATACGAATTTATCTATAAAAAACCCCCTTCTCTTCTCCTAAAGAGGTTGGAACTTGGAACCCCCCCAATTCTCTCCTCTCTCCAATTCGAAATTCTCTTCCTCCTTCAGTAATATCTCACCACTTTCTTCATCCAAACACATAAAAATTACTCCATCTTCGTCATCATCTATCATATTTGGAGCTCAAGAACACACCTTCGATTTTGTAAGATTTTTATGTTTGTAATAAATATTTATTTGTTTAAGCTTCAAACTATTAACTTCTAAATTCCATTGGGGTTAGAAGTTGGTGTAATTAATTGTCCATCTTAATGTTTTAAATATTTTTAACATGGATTGTTTATTTTATTTTTACTTAGATGTTGTGTTTAGAAATAAATAAATTTAGAATGTTTGTGATTTTTAATTAAGGGCCCAATCATAAACATAATTGTTAAAAGGAATTTGAGCTAAAATTGAAATAATCATAAAATAGAACACTTTTTAATTACAACGTAAGCCTTCTCTACCTTTAACCAGGATTGAAGACTTTCGGATGGACATAATTATTGAGTTGTATTTTTACACCATTAAATTGGGTAAACATACAATAAAATAATTATGGTTGTCGTTGTTACTAAATTATTACTCTGAATTTATCATTAGCGTGTTAAAGTCGGAATGGTTATTATTTAGGTGAACTATGAGAGCGTCTTTAAATACTTTTCTGCAACCCACACATTCTATATAAAAATAAATTAACAATCCAACTTTTATAAAAACATTAGACAATTAACTTACCAATTTCTACCCCTAACTTTTCATCATCAAAAACTTTGTGTTGTTTGGAACTCTCTCTTTTTACACTTTTTATTTTATCTCTAAAACCAAAACGACCAAAAAAATATTTTACAACTTCTTTTGTAAACTTTTGTCAAAATTAAATTAACTCACGTCTCCCTGAGGTTCGACACCCTATGTTATATCCGGGCTTGGCCCTATCATACCCTCCCCCATGTCCCACACCCTCGCAAAAACCAAAGGACTTACGTTCAAACATTATGATTCATTTTAATGAGAATTCCAAGTCCTTCAACCCGAGAGGCCAAATAACTTCGGACCTAAGGGTTCTGCCAACCAACTCCCACTCTGCCAAACCCCACCCTAAACATCCAAAGCTCCTTTCCATTTAATTCCTTTCAAACATAAAGTTTTCCTACACTTATTTTAGCCTATGGCCGAAAATAAGGGTGTGTAAAATAAAACCTTTTGTTTGTTGTTATTTTCCTTCTTTTAAGCCTTTTATTCAACAAATAAAACCCTCCCTCTATTCCATTCACCCCCTGGCCAAAATACACTTCACAATCCCAACATAAACACCCACAAAGAGCCAAAACCCTGACCCACCACTAGCCA